CAACACCCAGTACAACAATAAAAAAAAAAATAGAGACTATCTGATTGTTAAAGGAACCTTACTTAAGAGATGGCTTCTGTGCTTCTGTTAACATTACTCTCATCGTATGGTTTCTATTGAAAGATGGCTGTCTTTGGAAATTGTTTGTTAGAACTTAGTTTCTCTGTTCATAAGTGAGGCAACTGTGAATAGTCAAAAGAATATGGCATGATTGTGTTTTGGGGAGAATCATCTTAACCTATTCAGAACTTTGGTGCCTCGTTTCAAATAAAAAAAAAAAAAAACTAAGGGAGATCCACAAAGATTTACTTTTAGTTGTCTAAAATCTCTAAAATGAGCCAAGCACTAGGGGCTTATGCCTGTAATCCCAGCTACTCAGGAGACAGAAATCAGGAGGATCATGGTTCAAAGCCAGCCCAGGCAAATAGTTCAAGAGACCCTATCTAGAAAAACCCTTCACAAAAATAGGGCTTATGGAGGCTCAAGGTGAGAGGCCCTGAGTTCAAGTCCCAGTACCACCAAAAAAAATCTCTAAAATGTTTTAAGTCACTTGAACAAATCATAGTATGAATACAGAAAAGGAAAATCTTTTCAAACTAATTTGAGAATAGCATGTGTCTGGCTGAGGCAAGAGGAACAGAAGTACAGCTGGGCTGCTGATGTACTAAAATGATAAGGAAGGGTTCTCTGGAAACTTGCCTCCCTGACCAACAGAGGAATAAAGCTGCAGTGAAATCTGGGGCACCCTGGGAACCAAGTTTTAGGACATGATCCCAGGGAAAGTTTGGGTGCCTCATTTAAAAGTACTGAATGGCCACTTGAGGTTATCTGATATGGATAAGGCTTCATGCCTGGTTCTGCCCTGGAAGAGGTTATGGGGTCAAGGTAGCCTCTTTTGTCTTTAATGCTCTGCAGTGTAGAAAGGAGTGCCATGTTGACTATCACTGCTCAGAACATACTGACCCGTCCAGCTGGGGAATAGCATTCTTCTCCAACTGAGCAATGTTCTCAGCCACACGCCTCTCTCCCATTCGCTACTCTCTGCTTCTAGAATTCAGTTAGACACTGCTGGGCCTTCTCAACCTACACTCCAAATGTTTCATGACTCTTCAAATTCACTTCCTTTATGTCTGTCTGTGCTAAAGTCTCATCAATCTCAAAGCTCTCTTCCAGAGCACTAATTCTCTAGTGAGTGTTATACAGCATGGTAGTACATGCTTTTGAAAATCTACCTGTCCTCATCCACACTGTGTTCTTCGTTATGATTTCTCCACATTCTTCTCTTTTAAATTATTTTACACACACTGATGGTGTCACATTGTCTCTGGCAGGTTTTGGGTTTTTTGGGGTTTTTTTATGGTAGGTAGTTCTGGGATATGAACTCAGGTCCTCAAGTGGTAGAGCTAGGCAGGCGCTCTACCACTTGAGTCACTGGCAGGTTGTTCTTGAGTGCTGGTCGCATATGTGTGGTTGTTTTACTGTGAGTCTATCCTCAGTGAAGACTCTACTGCAAGCAGACCTCACTTGTCCTGGGTAAGTGGTTTTATGAACACTTACCGAGTGGTTATATGAACATTTCCGGGGAAGGTTTTCCTCCAAAGCCTGTTTCATGCTTTCTCTTCTGAGAATAAATTTATATTTCTTTTCCAAAGTGACCAGTTTAACTTAAAGGACATTGTGTATATCACTCTCTCTGCAAGGTTCTGAGTTTAGGGAAAATGAAATATTCCTATAGAGATATTGTATATAAAACACCTACTACAGAGACCAAATCATGATACTATTAGCCAGATGTTAAATATCTCCCCTCACCAGTGACACAATCAGCACATCTTTCCTTCAGGATGTGGCTCTAAAGAAGTTCTCCGAGAGTTGTAAGCACAAAGATGAGATAAACAGAACTCAAGAACAGCTAAGTCAAGTCAGATGACATCTTTAGAAAAAGAAATCATACTAAAATATTTAAAAACAAACATGCTAATAAAAAAAAGAGTTGTTTAACAATGCTTAGAAAACCAAAAGAATCTCACTCAACTTGTAACATTTTTGTATCTGAAAGCGTTCAGGAAGGCAAGGATGGTTCATCACTGGCAAAGCTTAAGAGTAAATTAAATCTGGAAAAAATACGCCTAGTGAAAAAGCAAGTATGTATTCCATGTGGTGAAGATGATAAGATCTACTATGACAATGAAATGAAATCTTGGGAAGAACAAATGAGTAAAGTTAGTGGATGAAGTGATCTTATACATTTCCAAATGAAGCACCAAGCGAAAGACGACAATGAGGAGAGTTAAAACAGAAGATCAAGTTGTGCTCATGACAGTGAGGAGCAAAATCAACTACGTCTCAACACCTGAAGTTTTTGTAAACTTAGAAAGGATAAAGGTGGTAAATACTTTATATTCATTTTTTTTAACTCATGGACTTCTGTCAGTTAAATACATTAGTATTAGTATTTTTTTGGAAGTACTGGGTATTAAACTGTTATTATTTTGGAAACCCCAACAAATGAAAGTTCAGGCAAAATTTTATTTTGTGTTTAAGAACCACTGAGAATTGACTGGACATGTGGTTCACACCTCTCAACTACTTTGGAAGCAAAGATAGGAGGGTGGCAGTTGGAGGTCAAGTAAAAATGCTAGTGAGACTCTATCACAAGGAACAAGTTGGAAGACTGAGATTAGACCCTCTCACTCTGTACAAAAATAAAACTCCAAATGGATCTAAGATCTTAATGTAAGACCTAAAACTTTGAGATGGGTATAGGAAAAAGTAGGGAAAACTCTGGAAGGTATAGACAGAGGTGACCATTTTCTAAACAGGACTAATTAGTTCAGGGAATAAGAAGAATTGACAAATGGGACTGCATCAAGTTAAAAAGTTGCTTCATATCAAAAGAAAGCTACCAGAATCAAGAAATAACCTACAGAACAGGAAAAAATCTTCACCAGCTATTCAACAAATAAAGAATTAATATCTAGAATATACAAAGAGCTCAACAAACTAACTGGCAGAAGAACAAATAATCCAATTAATAAATGGGCAAATGAACTGAATAGACAGTTCTCAGAAGTAGTACAAATGGCTACTAAACACATGAAGAAGTGTTTAACATCCTTATCCATAAAGGAAACACAGATCAGAACCACACTAAGAATCCACCTCACCTCAGTTAGATTGGCAATCATCAAGAAAACAAACAACTAGCAAGGGATTAATAACCGGAATATAAAGAGAGCTCAAAAAACCAACCTCTCAAAGAATCCACAACCCACTGAATAAATGGGTAAATAAGCTGAAGAGACAATTCTCAAAAGAAATACAAATGGTCAATAAACATATGAAGAAATGTTCAACATCTTTGACCATAAAGGAAATGCAAATCAAAAATAAACAACATTCCTTCTCATCTCAGTCAGATTGACAATCACCAAGAAAACAAATAACAAATGCTGCCAAGGATGCAAGGAAAAGGGAAGTTTTATACACTGTTCCTGTACAGTTAGTGGGAATGGACACGATTCCAACCATTATGCAAATCAATATAGCGGTTCCTCAAAAAAAACTAGAAACAGGCTTACCTTATGACTCTGCCACACCACTCTTGGGCACATATCCTAAGGACTGAGACATGAATGTAAATGGGTCTCTGTAGGGGAGGAATCAGTGGGAGGAAGAGGGTAAGGAGGGTATGAGGGAGAACGAGGATCAGTGCATGCTTCATATACACATATGAAGAGAGCACAATGAAACTGTCTGCAAACGGGGGAAGAAGGGAATGGAAATAGAGTGAAGGGATGAGCATGCTCAAGGCATGCTGTACTCATGAATGGAATCACCACAATGAGATCCCTTCATAGTCAATGTGTTGCTAATGCAAAACTCAAATAAGAATTTAAATAATAAAGTAATGGTAGAAAAAGAGAAACTTGGAAATAAAAAGAAGTATAATGCAAAAGAAATCACTGTAAAGACACAGTGTTGACATTTTGGGTATATCATTTTGAGTATTTCTCTTTGTTTTTCTGGAAATAACTGAATAATCTTACATTCAAATAGAAAATTAATACGTGATAATGATAATAAATTTGGACAATCCTGAAAAGTAAAAAGTGGGAAAATAAAAATTAACCTTACATGCAAATAAGAAAGAAAGAAAAGAACAAGCTAGGTGACGCACTCCTGTAATGCCAGCCATGTGGGAGGCAGAATAGAAGGGTCACCATCCAAGGCTGGCCCTGGCAAAAATCATGAGAATCTATTTGAAAAAATAATCAAATCAAAAAGGCACAAGGGCTGTGGCTAAAGTGGTAGAGTGCTTCCCTAGCAAGTACAGGGTCCTGAGTTCATACTCCAATGAAGAAGGAGGAGAAGAAATGTTTCCATCATTCTGAGAATGGTTTGAGCAATGGTTCATTGATTTGAGCAATCTTCTAATTGCTGCTTTTAGTTTTCTATGACTCGCTACAGATTCCATTAATCCTTCTTTTGTAACAGTTATGATCAATCTCTTACCATGATCAATGTCTCAGGTAAGGAGGTCATCAAACTACTTCTAAAATGACAGTTAAAATGGAGTTCTAAAACAATAATTAGTTATTATACATCATTCAGAATATTATTTTTAAAAAGCAAGCTATTGCATCATTGTCATTCTCCTGGAGACTTTACAAAGACAAATTAATGAGCTAACAATTAAATGCTATAACATTTATAATAGAACTGCCACAGAAATATATAAATATTATTTGACTGCATTTACTGGCTTGAAAAGTAATCATTCACAGTTAATTACCAATATTTCCTTTTAACAAAGAAACTATTGTGCAATAAAACAAAAATTGAAAGTATGCTTTCAAACCCTCAATAAGTAAAAAAAAAAAAGTGGGGAAATTTTTGAAAGAATTTTCAGTGACACATTGTATAAAGTTTTAACTTATTTTAAGACATACAAAGAAATCTTCCACCACAGGCTTCGTCATGGCAGAAATGTTTCTTACCTCTGAACTTCTTGGGTGGGTTGGCGAGGTCACCTGCATCTGGGTGCACCACACATCTGTCATCCACCAACCTGGAGGAAAAAGCACATTCACTGTTACAGTCACAGTCCACAGACTGCACAAGGACATGTACAAATATTCAGAGTTTTAATGCCATTCCTCACTCAGAAACTTTTAAATAATATGGATTTATTAAAATATCATGGTACACAGAGATACTCACTAAAGCAAGTCTGACAGAATTTAAGAATAGGAATCCTTGTTAAGTGGTATAAGAATGTCACAGACAAACCATGGAACACCATAAAGCTATTTAAAATTCTATTCAATGAAATGCATGGCCTCTAGAATGTTATAATGTTATAAAAATAATCACTAGCCAGGACTGGAAGAGTGGCTCAAATGGTAAGAGCACCTACCTGGCAAGTGTGAGTGAGGCCCTGAGTTCAAACCCCAGTACCACCAAATAAAACAAAAAACAAAAATGGTGGGTTCTACCTTTGACCCTGGCAAGCTGTGTTTGTGTTAGTTACTTAATGTCTCTGTGCCTTACTTTTTAAAAGAGCCAGTTGCAATCCTACCAGGTTCTTGTATTTCTGTGGTCTTTTTTTTTTTTTTGAGTCTCTGATTCTGTGCTGTAAGTAGAGTGGGCTTGTGATATTATTTCAATAGCAAATTCTGACATGTCACATTTTACACACTATAGTTTCAAGTACCTGGGAACATCTCCTTTTCAAAGTTTGCACATTATTTGATCATTGCAAATACTAGTAAGTGACTTTCTTCCACTCACTCACCGCAGTTTTCAAATGTGTTATTTTAAAAACTTAAGAACTTGTCATTTGGTATATGAACACTTTTTCACCAAGCAATATTCAAGTTGCCCAAATATGGAGTCAATCCCAAGGCTGTAGCCATTTCCCAAGCACTTGAAATGTTTCCAGTTTTCTTCCATAAGAGACATAATCAATCATCTATCTATCTACATATATATGTATAAACTAAAGCATAAACACTAATCTTTCAAGTACTGCTACATGGAAACCCCTAAAAATACAGGACAAATCCAAATATTTAAATGTTTTGATCAGAGTAATTATGCAAGACTTAGTTTAACTATTAGCAACCTTTTCAAAAAATAGGTGCCCTATGTAACACAAAGACATCTGCATTAATCTTCTTTTAAATCGCTGCAAGAAGCCATCATTTTTGAAGCAATTATCTTCAGGATAGAATGCTAATGAAACTAAAGGGTTAAAGAAAACCTAAGATTTACATATAGTCTTCCAAAAAACAGCACATAATTCCTAACTGATTTCAGAAAGGATGTGCCTATATATTTAGAAGGCTTAATTAAATTCCTGACCCATCCAAAGAAAACCATCATTACTTTTTCTTCTTTATCCTCTCTACCCTGCATCCTTGTCATGTGGACATCTTTGCACCCAGTATTAGTGCAAGTCATCTCATGAAGCATCTTGCTCTAGACCATCCACTGTGGTTATCACGAAAGTCAAAGCAAGTGTAAAGTTCCTTCTCAGAATATAAGTGGTATCTACACCCACTTGAGATCAATTACCTAGTGATGGTGGAGCTGACTTAATGACTCTCAGTTCTTAACCTTCTGCGAAGAGCTAGGAAATCACTGGCAAAACGACTCACATAGCAAAATTCAGGTCCAAGTGTCCCCTATCATTTCTACTGAGTTTTCGGCACAATTTGCTGATGCTTTCAGGAAGAAAATGCTAATAACCAGAAAGTTACTTAGGGCAGCTCTCTTCTTCTAAGTACAGACATCGTTCTCACCAAGGTTTCTGCCTGCTTTTGGTCATTCCTGTGCCTAAACATAGCTGCTTTTTAGATTTTGTCCAGAGTTTATAGCTGTCTTACTGCAGATGAAAATTAAAGAAATATGAGCTCAAATGTTTAAAAATTAGATAAGAAAACAAGGTACTATGCCTGAGTCAGCAAAAGCAACAACAGATATTGTAATCATCAACAAAAAAATAAAAATCACTTAAGAAATGTTTAAAGAAATGAAAAATATATTTAAAAGATCAGGGAGGAAGAACATCAGATGGACTGATAATGAATTTCTAGAATTAAAACTATTTATAAATATAGTGGCTTTAAGATGATAAATTCAACACAACTAATTAATAACCTTGAAGATAGGTCTTGAGAACCTACTCAGAATAAGGCAAAGAACAAGAAGGTCGGAGAAAGCATGAAAGCCGAGTTAAGATACACAAAGGGTAGTGCCAGAGGAGAGAACATAAAATGGAAGAGACAGTACTTGAAGAGATAATGTCTGAGAATTTCTAGGGGCAGTGAAAGACAGAAATCCACAGACATGAAAACACAGCATGTCCAAGAAATAGATATATTTAAATTTTTTAAACTACATATAGTAAAAAAAAAAAAATCAGAACATCAAAGACAGAGGAGGTCTTTAAAGTGTCCTCAGGGAAACAATTAACTAGGACAATTAGATCAGATCAAACTCCCAGAATCTGTAACAAAAGCCAAAAGATATAGAATCATTTCTTCAACGCAGGGAAAATTTAGCAGTCAAGCTAAAAGTATGTGCCCAGCAAAACTAACTTTTAAGAATAAGGTTAATGTAACATGAGGTTTTGTTGATAAATAAAAACTAAGAGTTTTACCATTAATGGTCTTTCTCCAAAAACCACCCTATAGAGTATAATTCAGATAGAAGGAGAATTATCAGAGCTGGAGGAGTGGCTCAAGTGGTAAGTGCCTGCCTAGCAAGCACAGGCCCTGAGTTCAAACCCCAGTGCTGCCAAAAAAAAAAAAGAAGGAGAATTATCAGAGTAGAAACTCTGAGTTTTAAGAAGAAATGGAGAGAAAAACTGGTAGACATGACGCAATCTAAGCAAACACTGTCAGTATAAAAGAATAATGACTGACTAACATGGAGTTAAAAAGAAACAACACTGTTCTGAATCACAGGCTGTGGTTCTGAATCACACAGTAATGACTTCACATTTCAATCAAATTAACACTGTGCTGGGTCTGCAGAGTAGAAATGTTTCCCATACATCTTTATCAAAGTACAACTGATGAACAAAAAGTACATAAATTTAGCATATATGATGTTTTGCTTTTTTTTTGGGGGGGGGGGTTTTTTCATTTTTCTTTTATTATTCATATGTGCATTACAAGTGCTTGGTTCATTTCTCCCCCCTGCCCCCACCCCTCCCTTACCACCCTCCACCCCTCCCGCTCTCCCCTCAATACCTCAGCAGAAACCTATTGGCCCTCAGTTGCTTTTAAGGTATCTGCTTTAGTTTTCTACTTGCGTAAGGGCAACAAATGCTAGCTAGTTTCTAGGTGGTCTTACCTATCTCACCCCTTCCTTGTGTGCCTCTCCGTTTTATCATGTGCTCATAGTCCAATCCCCTTGTTGTGTTTGCCCTTGAGGTTCTAATGTCCCATATGAGGGAGAACATGACATTTTTTGGTCTTTTTGGGCCAGGCACCTAACCTCACCAGAAATGATGTTCCAATTCCATCCAGTTTACACACGATGGACTAACATTTTCGTTCTATCTCATGGCTCCATAGAATTCCATTGTGTATCAGATACATATTTCTTAATCCATTGTAGTGCTGGGGCATCTTGGCTGTTTTCAGTAACTTGGCTATTGTGATAGGCCGCAATAAAATGGATGTGCAGGTGCCTCTGATAACAGTCTTTTGGGTATATCAAGTGGTATTACGGATCAAATGGGTAGATCGATGTCACCAGTTTTTAAGTAGCCTCAATTTTTTTCCAGAGTGTTGTACTAGTCCTACATTCCCACCAACAGTTGTAAGAGGGTTCCTTTTCCTCCCCTCCTCGCGCAACACCTGTTGTTGGTTGGTGTTGCTGATTGATGGCTATTCTAGACAGGGGTGAGGTGGAATCTAGTGTGGTTTTAATTTTGCATTCCTTTATTGCTAGAGATGGTGAGCATTTTTTTACATGTTGTTTCTGACGCATTTGAATTTCTTCTTTGAGAAAGTTCTGTTTAGTTCACATGCCATTTCTTTATTGGTTCATTAGTTTTGGGAGAATTTAGTTTTTTAAGTTCCCTGTATATCTGGTTATCAGTCCTTGTCCGATGTTAATTGGCAAATATTTTCTCCCACTCTGTGGGTGTTCTCTTCAGTTTAGAGACCATTTCTTTTTGATGAACAGAAGCTTTTTTAGTTTTATGAGGTTCCTATTTATCTAGCTATCTCTTAGTTGCTGTGCCTGCTGGGGTTTCATTGAGAAAGTTCTTACCTATACCTACTAACTCCAGAAGTATTTCCTACCTTTCTTGTATCGAACTTAAGAGTTTGGGGTCCTGATATTAAACGATCCTTGATTCCATTTTGAGTTAATCTTGGTAATAGGGTGATATCCATGGATCTAGTTTTCAGTTTTTGCAGACTGCTAACCAGTTTTCCCAGCAGTTTTTTTGTTTGAAGAGGCTGCTATTTCTCCATCGTATATTTTTAGCTCCTTTGTCAAAGATATAGGTATACACTGTAAAGTGATTAAATAAACCAATTAACATAACCATCACCTCATATACGTATTCTTTTGTGATGGCAACACTTAAAATCTACTCTCAGCAATTCTGATGTGTAAAATACATTATTAGTAAGTCTAGATACCATGATAATACATTGATTCATGCTATTCAGCTGAATCCTTGAACCCTTTGGCCAGCATTCCTCCATTTCCCTTCCCCTGCTCTGCTTCTGAAACACCAAGCTTTTTAAGATTCCACCCCTGGTCAGATGAACAGTCCTGCCTTTCTGTACCTGGTTTACTTCACTTAGCATAACATCTTTAGGTTCCTCTGTGCTATTGCAAATGACAAGATTTTCTCTTTTAATTGCTAACTAGTACTTCCAAGTACATCACATTCTCATTATCCATTTGCCCATCAATGGACAATCAATCTGTTTTCTTGTCTTGGCTATTGTGAACACTGAAATAAGCACCTGGCTGTACATGTCTCTTGACATGGCAATTTCATCTCAACACCCAAACTGGGATTGCCTGATCATACGG